GAAAGGTTGCTACTTTCAATGAAGACCACAGCACGCAAAGAGCTTGTGCTTCTCCATCCCGAACGTTCTGTAGTCCCTGGGTCGACGCGCGAATGGCTGAAAGTGTGTCATGAAAGCCTCTTCATGCACGGCTAATCTCATAAAGATACAGAATCGTCCTTGGGTGCACCAACATATTCACGTCGAACTTCCGGTGCGTACCAGACTTTTACTCTTGGATTAGTGATTTACACATGGACAATAGGGTCTTGCAGTTCCGATCGTGAAGACCACTCAGATACAAGATCCCGATGTTGTCATTGCATTCAAGAACCTCAAGGATAGAGTGCAGAGTGGCATCCAGAAGTACAGGGGGAGATCTAGGCACGCAAGACCGCAGCCACATCCCATGATCAATGACTTCTCTCGTCTGGCTAGGAGACTCTGCGCAAAATCTGTCGGGGTTGTCCTCGGTGGTGGTGGGGCTCGTGGCATCTCGCATCTTGTCAGTGGTATCTCCTTGGAGTTGTCATCATCCGTTGATAAGATAACAGGGTGTTCTACGTGCACTCGAGGAACGCGGTATTCCCATCGACTACATCGCAGGCACTAGTATCGGTGCACTAATAGGTGGTCTTTATGCACGCGAGTGCGATATTATAATGAGCACCAATCGTGCTAAGCAGTTCAGTGGAAGAATGGGGAATATTTGGAGGATGCTTTCAGATGTCACATACCCTCTCGTCGCTTATACCACAGTAAGTCATCTGATCACGCTTCGTATCGCACACACATTCACGTCTCGCCTTAGGGACATGAGTTTAACAGAACTATATATAAAGTAAGCCTTCGAGAAGTTAGCATGGACCCACAATCTTAACACATTTGTCAGGCCTTCTACGATCTTCACATAGAAGACATGTGGCTACCGTATTTCTGTAATACTACGAACATCAACACATCTCGCATGGAGATCCATGAAAGTGGTTATGCCTGGAGGTTCATCCGTGAGATCGTCCAACTGATTTCGTCGTTACGAACTCACGAGTGATACAGGTGCTTCCATGACTCTGGTTGGACTACTGCCTCCACTATGTGATAACGGCAGCATGCTTGTTGATGGTGGATATAGTACGTCCCTTCGTTCAACCCTGTACTTATTGCTTATGAGATTGATTGATTGTCTTCCGCAGTTGACAACCTGCCCGTGAGTAGCTAATTACTGATGACCCTGGATGGCGCCTAAAATATAGCATCAGGTGTCAACAATGTTCTCCATGGGCGCGAGTGTTGTGCTTGCTGCTGATGTTGGTTCTGTAGGTTTTTCTTGAAAATTGTCACCTCTATCTGCATGTCCTTACCCTCCATTACCCAGATCGACGATAATTCGCCTCGAAACTTTGGTGACTCTGTTTCTGGGTGGTGGCTCTTTTTCAACCGATGGAACCCGTTCTCGAGTGCTCGAACTGTGCCTGCGATTACCGAGATCCAAAGTCGACTAGCTTAGTAGGTTTCCTCACTGCAGGATCAGTTTCTGTTGTTCTTACGTGTTCGAAGCGTATCGAGTGTACACACTCTGGAGGCAGCCAAAGTCGCACGGAACTGCCTGTATATGCAGATGCCAGTTCAGGAGGTACGAATACTCTCCTGTACCCATGTATGACACTCACGCGCGCGCAGTATGGCACGCTCCAATTCAGCAAGTTCGATGAGATTCAGAAGAAGGGGTATCTCGCTGCGGTCGAGATTCTTGACAAGTGGGAAGAGGAGGGAAAGTTGCCCGTTCCAAACCTCGATGGTTACGGCGCAAATAACAACAGGGTTAGTAGGAAAGGAAGAAGCGCAAGACGCAATTCAGTGTAAATCAGTCACATTTCGCTGTAGCTCTACGTACATACAGTTGTCATATCACGGAATAATTATCTACGACAGAAAACATACAAATACTAACTAGATAGTTATGCACCGCGACACATTTGTTTAAATACCAGGAAAGCATACAAATCGTGCCAGTACAGAGAGATAAGATCGAGCTCATGTATTGTACGCGGTGAGGCAAGAAACCAAAGAAATATAGGCAATTAAGCAACAATAATGAATATGGACGCATCCATGCGGTATGCAAGTCGTGGAATGATAAAGGTCACAAAAACACGCGAATGGTAATGATAGTCGATACACTTGGTGGGCAGGCTTTGAAACACATCATTGTTTGCTGATATAAATAGCTCTGAAGTTATCTACATGAAACAACACGTGAGTACCTGCCCCCGGGACAACAAATAGAACACATACCCTAATGCACAACATGCTGGTGAAAGCTCAATAATAGCAATGCATCCTCGATCTTCACACCAGAAAACGTTGTGGCATGCATACCTGCATCCGCGCTAACGTACTCGCTAGGTCCCGCAGACATTCCCACGGCCATCTCAAGCTCTTGAAAGGCAGCGGGTTCAATCAGTCCCACGCCTATACTTTCGACACCAATGCTGCCTCCATCACGAGGCATCGGATGTGGAACATGTGCCCGAATGCGTTTTTGCGGAGGAGGAGAAGGCGACATGCCAGGGGTCACTGCCTCCTGTAAATCCTCTTCGCTGCGTTCGTCGACATCAAATTCCATGGTGTCCTCGTCATCCAGATCCATTGCATCGTCTTCGTCTTCGTCTTGGGAAGACGAGCCTGATGAAGTTTCACGGGAAAAATTGTATTGATATCCACGGCCCCTTGGGGCGCGAGGAAGAGGAACACCAGCTCGTTTAGCTCGCTTGCGGGCTGTTTGGCGAATGTTGCGAAACCAATTTGTGACTTTGCCAATGTCCCTGGCGGAAAGGTAAGTAAGCGATATGCCGGGATGGATTTGACGTACATTCCGACTTCCATCGCAAGGGCATTCCTTTGCTCGATACTTGGCGTTGACGTGCGATGCAGCAGCTTCTTGAGCGCTTCCAGCTGATATGGCTCAGGGCGGGAGCGGCGAGGACGGGATTGTGCGTCCTCTCCTTTGATGCCCTCATGAGTCCGAGGCATCTCTTCGCGGTCCCTTGAATATGGGGTGACGCTTCTTCGCATGCGGGGTGAAGTGAGACGAGGATTCGAGGATGGCGGCAAAGACATTCGGCTGCGCGGAACCTTCACATCATCAAGTTCAGGTGGAGACAACTTAAGGAAGGGAAGAGAAGGAAGAGGCAGGTGACGATCCGGGACGAGGGATGGATGAGATGCTCTTGGAGGGAAGTTCAGATGGGTCAATGAAGGCCCATGATCATCATCATTGACGGAAGATGGGTGAGATGAGCCATCTGCAGTTGCAGATGACGAAGACGTGAGGGGATGGGGGTCTTCCTTATGCTTCTTAGCCTGGGTGCGCTGGTTCTGGAACCAATTTGTCACGCTTTGACGGCGCCTATCGACGCAAGATCAGTGGGATTGTACAATGATTTTGATAAAAGACGACTGACATGCCAATTCGGTCAGCGAGTTCTTCTCTTTCATCCTTGGATGGATGTGCGTTTTTCGCATAAGCGCGACGAAGCTCTTCACCTTGCTCAAGGGTTGTTCTGTTGCGAATTGGCTCGCCTCTGCCCTTTCGAGACGTAACGCCATCACTAGCACCGTCATTCTCGGAGACAAAGCGGCTATCCGCGTCGGGTACAAAGTGGCCCCTTTCGGCATAGACGGCATGGTGCCGATCGCTATCGACAGCCTGGTTCTCAGGCACAAACCGATCATGAGGCAAGAGCTCGGGGGCGAAAGACTTGTCACGAGTGTAATGTGCTTCATTGATATGGTCGTCATGAAGGTGGAGGATATCTTTCTGTTTCTTGCGTGATGATGAGGAGGGATGGGAACGGGATGAAATGTTACGTGAGGAAGCAGTGGGTGGAGGTGATGAGGAGTTTAAAAGGTTTGCTATTGATGGAAGCGTAGATGATGGAGTTTTGGGGGGCGGTGCGTCAGTGGAAGCAGAGGTTACTGGTTTATTGCGCTTCTTTGTGGAAGCTCTCTTATTTTGAAACCACGCATTCACAGTCTTCGTTTCCCTGAAAGTCAAAAGGATGGGAGAGAGGGATGTTGAATGCACATAAATGCAAGAGACGCCCGTCGACCGAATCAATAAAATTATGAGGGGTGCCCAAAAGGGGAACTTACATTCCAAGCTTCTCAGCTAGGTCTGTCCTGTCGTCTAGGCTGGGATGCTCGTTTTTCTCATAGAGCTCGTTGAGTGCTGCGAGCTGGTTTGGACTGTGACGATGACGAGGCTTCTTTGCAGAGGGGCCCTTGTCGGTTGTTTCAGGATCGTGAGGTTTTTTTGTTGGCTTTTCATCGTCGTGAATATTAGCTATAGGTGTTGAAACTCTGCTGTGGTCGTCGGGGTCGACGTCGCCAAGGACAGATGAAGAAGCAGATATAGTGTTGTTATTGGATTGTGAAGGATGATTAGGGAAGAGAACGTTGTCCATGGTTAATTCCATGGAGGCTTGATGGGGGACAGCTTTCAAGGGAGAGACATGACAAAGGCTTGTATATGGACTGCTGATATTCCATATCCGCAACCTTTTTTTACTCTGCTATAATGATCAATATTCCCACGGGTGCTACTTGTCGTCACTGAGGGGCATATTACAGGACAGCAACGATAATATATAAATCATTGCCTCTTGCTACTAATAAATGATTAACTTAGTAGTACACATAACTACGGTGCTGAGTCGAGGCGTTGGTGAAGCTGAAACTCGGTTAAAGGAGTAGGGTCGGATAGGATTCACAGGGTATCCACGTGGCTATACACTTCCTGGATGTTTTCTGGGTATAATACTTTGAATTGGACTCGCAGTCGTTTCATATCTAGCTAAGCGCTAAGCTTTCAACGTTTATTAATCAAGCGGAATTTAACCCAACTTGGTTACTAAACTGAATCGGAATCGGAACGTACGCAGTGACTCAGTAGTACTGCCTTGTAGTATTGTGCAGTGCAGTGCCACACTGGCAATCATCTTTCCATCCGGCCACCAGGCTTTACGCCAACTAATTTCTCATAGATTGATTATCCTAGTACATGATAAGACTCATATATGCAAAACTAACGAAAATGGAATGAACGGTATAAATAGTGCACATGAGAAACAGACCATGACAGCACCAACTATGACGGCAGTACAGGCGTCTCTTCCACGTCGATGTTCTTAATCCATGCTCCGATTGACCCTCTGCAAGTAAACTTTCAATTAATCTGCCTCATACTCAATAACATCAATCAACTTACAGGAATCCCTCATGTCGGAAAAACAGCGCTCGCTTCGTTCCCTTGCTCCAGAACCGTATAGCATATGATAATGTAGCCACCGTCGCTGCATGTCCTGAAACGGTATCAACATCGCACAATGACTAAGATATAAGGAACTCGACCCACCACGTATGAAGAAGCCACCAAAGTAGATCCTATCTAGACCATACTTTTCTGCGTTCATGTACCTGAACATGCTGTCAGCCTATCCTCAATGAAGCACTTTCCAGTGCCATATCAAGCCAACTCACGCAATCTGCCCGATATTATTCGACACAGCGTAAAGCAAACTTCTGCTGATGTCCTCGGCTCGGAACGTCCCGCGTTCCCCTTCTTCCTTCGCCTCACCTCGGCTCCTGAATACCTTCCCAAACGAACTCGCTATCATCGTTGATTTGAGTCCAAGCTTGCTGTAGTCCGAACCATAGATATCACCAACGAGCATATCCACACTCGCATTATCCCCCTTTTCGGACAATGCAAGCATCTCTGCGCCAAGAATAAGTCATTGATCATTTGATCAAGCCACAATATCTGCCACTTGCCATCAAATGTTCGCGCCGGCGTCAACAAACTAAGAAGTCCCCATAACGTCCCCCCGCCAAGGCTGGTTCCACTGACACGTTCAAAAGATCCATCAGCATCCACCTTGATTATAGATACACCAGATCCGATGTTGACAAGCAAACAAGGAAGATGCGCAGAAGGTTCGCTCGTTTCGAACGTCACGGCATACCGCGGCGGGTCTGGTGAAGGCCGCTCTAGAACGGGCTCCGCGCCCGTGCTGGGCGCCACATTCCCGCTCGACGAAGGACCATCCAATGCGTTTTCATTCTGCACGTCCTTCGATATGTGATGGGTCACTTCCTGGATGAGTTCATCCGAGAAGTAATACACCTCCTCTGGGATCGTGACCATAAATTTCATCCCCTCGATCAAACACTCCATCTCATCCTCTCTCTGCACATCCACCACGAGTTCGCCCTCGAACAGCTTTCCAAACCTGTGTGCGCCACCACCGGTGGCTGAGATCTTAACGCTACGGCGCATCTCCTCAATAGAGACGCCATTCGCGGCAGCAGACCGAGTTATGAGCTCCGATATGAAGGCGACGAGCGCGGAGATATTAGACGTTTCGAACCGCTCAAAATTAATGGAGCCGCCAGGGATGTGCCGTACTTCGGTCGTGCGTTTAAGGATAGTAGAGTGTAAAAGGTCTGTGTCGAGGGAATCTGAGGGATAGTGGCCGTAGTCATTGCTGTGTCCATTTCCGTTGTAATGGGATTCGAGAGCGAGAGGTGTAAGAGTGCCGTTCCGTGTTTGCGAAGAGCTGCAGGGGATAGTAACGTTGGATGGGGATGTGGATGGGGAACCAGCACTGGACCCCGAGAAGGAATTACTGCCCTGCGTGGCTATCACAGATGGGGATGAAGGAGAACGTGTAAAGTAAACGACCTTCGCTAGTGATCCGCCAATCTGCGATATGACCTGATATCAGTAACCAGAACCAGAACGATATATGGACTAGCGCTTACGTCTATTGCGATATGTGAGACAGGTTCGATGTAGTTTGGGAGGTATATTCCTCGGCTGTCCCGAGTCTATGTTACGATGAGCAGTCAAGGTGATGCATAGCTTGGATAGATAACCAGGCGCATACCTCGGGCGACTCCTCGGCTAGTATCACCGCTCCTTTAGTGTTGACACGGATAGCCTTGGGCGTGGGCAGCGACGGCGGTGGGAGGGGGGCATGCATCGCGAATTTGGATGACGCTTCGGAACAGTCAGATTAAAGTAGATAAAACCGAATGGGCTCACAACTATATGACGGAAATTATGTGTGACTTAAAAGCACTGGAACGTGGTACGACAACCACGAAATCGTACGAACACTTCCCTGAGCAATTTGAACCATGTAAACGTTCAAAATTTATAAACTCATGCCATTTCGTTGTCTTGAGACTTTGTAATATTTAGCCGCATTTGCCGGAATCTGGAACTGCTCCTTATAGCCATTTACAATGTCTAGTCTCCCAGTCGACGTGTGAACATAGCGCAGTCGTATGTATTGCTCTCTGGCTAGTGGGACACCATGTGATACAAGCTCCACGTGTCGAATCTAACTCTAACCTCCGATGACAGAAACAACCAAGGCACACGCATTCTCCTGCTCTGCACGCACTCCAAGTTCAAGCGTAACACCCTGGCCTCGCGAAAACGTCATTCTGCACCTGACAAGCACCTTGCCTCCTCCCCCAGTTACCAGACCAGAAAGTTGCAGCGTGTGTACGGATGTCGAACTGGGCGCCTCCGTGCCACCTAAAGGCTCCATATTGAGCAGCTCAATGATAGAGTCGCAGGCAGCTGTAAATGTGGATGAGGTGTGAGTTGCATCAGCCGTGGAAAAATTGCAGACAGGTACAGAAAAAGTGAAACGAACCTTTGATACTTTCCATGGCACCAAGTGAGAACGTTTCCGTAGCAGTCGCACCAGACCGTAGACGATCCCACTCGGAGGAAAAGGACGCGTAACTGGGAATGATATAATCCCCACCAGCTGAAAGCTCGACCTCCTCCAATTGGTATTCGTCCTCGTAACCCTCTTCTTCCGGCCGACCGGTCGACGGATCCAGTTCTTTGGAAATGAATTTCAGGATACATTGGAAGGAGGTGGTGGTATACTCCTGGGGGTTGTCACGCTTGAAAGAAACATAGACGATTCCAAATGAATTGGCACAACTCAGAGAGTCGATTTGGAAGACAACGTCTTCTGTCAAGCCAGAATCGGCCTGTGGTTGCATTACCACGACCACCTGTTCCAGTACAGTGTCCGGGAGGGTATTTGATACATTGAACTGGGAACTGAATCAGACGCAACGCCATGAGGTGCAGTGCAGTTTACTGACCTGGAATACGATATGCTCTTTGAATATATGCTTGACACACGTAACTTGATACTCGGTCTCGGATTCCGTAAGCTGTGCAGGCTTTACGCTGCTGTTGAGGACGGTTCCGTACTCTGCAAAGTGTGGTATATCCGCGAGTTGCTGCACATATGCAGATTGCGTTTCTGCAGCAGTCGGAGGTGGCGGAGATGCTGAAGCTCTCGTCGCGGGCGCAGCGATAGTGTCCAGTGTGCTTGGACCTGAAAACGCGTCAGAGTTTAGAATAAAAGAAAATGAGAATACTGACGAGTCGACTCGGCAGCAAGTTGAGCACGACTGATCTTTGGTATCGACGAGGCGTCGAATGGCTCTGCACTGGCATCAACATCATTAACATACGCAACGAGTTTGGATTCGAGCGCGGCAAGTGAGAATACAGATTCTGTACAAATCATGAAACACCATATAAATCGTCGAAAAATCAACGTACCTTCTTTCACATAGGTGTCCGCAAGGGCCGTCTCCTTCATGACTCTCAGGTACATCGCGGCGCGATCACGAACCTCATCGTCAACGTCATCCAAACATCTGAGAACTTTTGTGAGTCGCTTTTTCTACACGGGGAAAAGCGACTGACCTGTTTAACAGAATGCCAATACTTCTTCGTAAACCATCGTCCACCGCATTCACACCGAACTTGGCCAAACTTGTGACGGCTGCTGCTCGTACAGTGGCATTTTCAAGTACGACACGGTTGTAGATGAACCGAATGTACTTGGTCGGTTGTGGAGCTTTGGGACCTTCGAGGCCAAGGAGGTGTAATATCCGCACGGACAACTTCGTGAATTCGCAGTCTTCGATGAACTCGCACAGATGCGAGAGTGCTTGCTCTTTGCAATCTGAGATAAACTTGATCATGTCGAACATAGCCTCGACGACGGCGCGTTTGAAGTCATATCCGCCCTCATCACGGAGGACCCCCGAAAGGAAAGCGAGCATGGAAACATGTTTCGTCGGGAATTTGATGCATAGTGAGCGAATGGCATCGACAATGATGACTTTGAATTCATCGCTGATCTCTGACATGAAACCAGTGATCTGCTTCATGAGGCGATCAACGGACGCCTCATTCCCTGTCTATGGAACAATTAGTGAGCGTAAAATTAATTCAAGTTCATCTCCACCTTGAGCAGGGTGGTGATGGCGTACGTTGCCACACCCCTATTCTGGTCAGTGATAAGATTCTCAAGATCGACGTTACATGACGCCACAGCAGCAGGATGGGTCAGAGCGAGAGTAGCCAGTGTCCGGGTTGCAGAGAATTTCAAAACAGGTTTGGGAGAAGAGAGGAATAGCTGGAGCACTGTAAACAAGTCAGACAAAAATAATCAAAGTTCAATAGTTACAAACCTGCTATTGGTTTGGTGAGTTGCGAAGCATTGACATTCTTCATCTCGCAAATAGCACGTGCTGCCTCAAAATTGACCATATCACTCTTGTGACGTAGCCACCCTTCCAAAAGATCGAGGATCTGCCTTTGAATACTAGAATCAAAATAAGGAGTTGATTTCATAACGTGTCCAAAGACGTACTTTGGATCTTCCTCCATCACTTTCGCAGCATACCGAATAAGCATGCAAAGAGCCATAGAATTTTTAAGCGTCGTGCCTGCACCAGACTTGCCCCCACCAAGTTGTTGTATCATTTTAGTCACAGCCATCCGATCCTGCTGGCGAATCAAGTACAGAAGACCAAGTGCATGATATTGAGTGATGTAGCTCGTTGAAGGAATAGGCTGGTAACCGCTGTTCGAATTTCCGGACGAGCCAAAATTGAGATAACCACCACCTGATGATCCGGGGAAGAAGGATGATGATGACTTCGCGCTGACCGCTTCCTGAGCTTCGTTTACCCAACGCTTGACAACGTCTTTTGCAAGAGGGAATAAGTGATACGAGGATACGAGTGCCGCAGATGAGATAGAGGGTGTTCGGTCTACAATTGCGGCTTTGAAGAAACGCTCTACACCTTGAGCCATGGAAGGCTATATAGCGGTGAGTGTATGGGACTCCATAATTTGGGCAGACGCACGTCAATGATTCGGCAAAGAGCACGAATTGCATTTGGCCGGTAAATGACCTCGGAGTTCGGTTGCATGTCCTTCATAATACTGCTTGTGACCATGATGACATCTTCAGCTGTGGTTGCAAGTTCCTTGATGGCCAGATACACCATCTGTCTCAAGGCGCTCTTCACAAGACATGAGCTGGTCATTGCATGGCAATGAGAAGAGAATAGGAACACACATCCTTATGTTGAAAGAGCTTTGTTGTTCCAAAGAACAACGTTGTTGCCTCCTGTGCGCTGAAGGTCTCCCCGATGTAAAGCAGATAGACAATACGAGTGAGGAGGGCCCTGCATTTCCTGGGGCTAATTGGAGAGTCGTTGAAAACACGGGCTTCTTGGATAATCGTTGTTTTGTTATTATAGTAAGAACTAAGGCCGCTCTCGTCCTCCTTTTTCGAGACGTAAGCCATTGCTGACAGCGATCAAAGGACGAGCTGCAGGTCGGCGATCGCGAAATGCACGACGTGGTCGAGCTGAATTGTTTGTTTGGTCATTGTTTGGTCAAGCGCTTCAACACTCCCGAGTCCAGTAAGAGTCTACGTACAGAGATACGATGTGCGAAAACCAAGCTAAAACCATTTACAACACCTGACAACCAGGCGGATTTGAATAGACTTCAAGTCGGTACATAAGTCAATGAATTATGCTGTAAAGCTCATATATGCGCAAAGATCAGATGTGTCAAAAGTTTTTTTTCCGTGCTCCCCTTCAGTGTCACAGAAACTCACATTATAAATATATCTCAGGGCTAGTGATTTAGGTTTTCGGCGGTGTACTTTGTTCGACACTGATACCATACACTTACGTGTGGGCTCGCCCAAGCTACTACAGTAATAGTTTCTGAGGCTCTGAGGAAGTAGAGTAGAGATGAAAGTTGGCTCGCTCGGACAGTCTGCAGACTCTGCCTCTGCTCAATTCCCTCTTTAGGTAGCAATAATGGCGGAGGCCCTACATGACTAGTACTGTATAAAACAAATCCCGAAGTTTCGGTGATTATTTCACGCCTCCTTCATCCTCTCTCAGGCCTACTACTGGGCTCAACGCTCAACGTTAACGTTCAACGTTCAACACCGGCACGGTTACTAAATCATGATGTCGAGCTCACAACATTGAGGTTCTACCATAGACTCAGTGCTGGCAATCTGTCGGTACCTCTATGCCTGCCTTGACCAGTACACTAGCAGACGTTGACTGCGGGCTTCAAGTGCACGTAGTATGTTTCCCTTTTAGATTGTCATGTCAGGATATCTTAATGAACTCTACTATGTAAGTTTTTATGCCCCCCTTTTTGTTCCTTTCTAGACATAATACCGGATGCCATCAGGCGTCTTCTGTATGGTACCATACCTGTCCATCATCCTGACTGTGGCCGCAGACCCATGGCCAGCCCGGAGCTAGTCGCCGGTAATCATTGAAGGACGTTAAGCTTCACCTATATCACGGACAGATGAGTCACCGTTGATGGTTATTTTGACAGCAAGGGGATAGGGTCGCCACGGGCCTTGAACGTACGTACTCTTCAAGATTAGTATACGTACACACTTTGAGTTTTGAATATCCGCCACTCGACTCGTCCGTGCATACGTGGTCGTATAGACCAGGTTTCGACCCTAGGTGCCTGCACGGCGGCATGACAGGGGATCAATGGTGACCCTCCTACGACATCCGTGACGTTGCACGGGGTTTAGACAGATATGATTGAAGACAGTTGATGATCCGCCTCATCTCCTCGTGGGCAAAACGCAGTGCTACCAGTGCATCACCTGATGGATTTTTATAGCCCCAAATCCAAGCTTCCATTATTCAATAAATCATGACCTTGGCGAGTGCATCATCGTAGAAGCGGCGCCACTTGCTGTATTTTTCAGATAGGTTATTCTGACGACAACTTGCCGTGACGGTGTACGCTAAAATTGTCTCATAGTCTCTC